GCGGAAAAACAGCTTCAGGGCCCCGGTGATGACATGGATGTCCTCCCACCGCCCATCGTCCAGGTCAAGGTGCTCATCTGCAGGGACAGGACAGCACCTTAGGCAGGTCCAGGCACAGGGCATGGGACTCATGCTGTTTGCAGGCTGTGCTGTCTGCCAGTGCAGCCCAGCAGAGCTAGAAAGATGTGCCCCCAGTCCCATGCCAATGGCCAGGACATCTCAGGGCTGCCTCTGCCACCCTCGGCTCGCCCACTGCGCAGGGGAGCCACGTGGCTCCATGCACCTGCACATGACACGGTAAAACCAAGTGGAAAACCAAGCCAAGCTCTGTCTGAGCAAGCTCCATGTCCACCCCCCAAATCCCTTCTTATCAGGGGAGATCTGCTTAGCAGCTCCCTGCTGGGACCCAGCCCACTTTAACAAGACCAGGCCTGGACAAGCCGGGGATTGCAGTGAATTCCCAGAGCCTCGAGGACAGGAGAGGATCTCCCTGTCCATGGGGCTCCTGTCCCTTTCTCTCTGGCTGAACATAAGTGACATTTCACTCCTCCAAGCCAGAGCCCCTCACACGTGGGGCCCTCAGAGACCCTCAGCTTTATGTTTGCCTCTTATTTCCACTATGGATATTTCCAGCTGCCATTTTCTGCCCTGGAAAGAGATGCTATGCAAGCTGCAAAGCGCTGCCAGCATCCTTGGGGCCTCACTCTCCATATGACGACAAGAAGAGCCAGTGGGAGATGTCTGCGGGGGGGGAGAAGAGAAACCAAGCCACCCCCGGCCCTACCGTGGTCCACTTTGTAGCGCAGTTTCTGGATCGTTGCCAGGTTGCCGCTGACTCGGTACAGTCCGTCTATGTCCAAACCTGGCAGAGGGCGCAAGAAAAATTCCTGGTTAGGTGCAGCCTGGTGGCGGTACCCCTGTCGGTTGCTCCCCAGGCTCTGCCTGACCCTGAGCCCCTGGCTCGTGGGGGCAACGGTACCTCTCCTCTCCACTGTCTGGATGCATTGCTGGACAAAGCGGGGCACCGTGCCCCGCTCCCGCTCACATAGCACTTGCAAGGAGCAGCCGAACACCTGATCTGCAAAACACAGACAGAGAAGGTTTGAGTACAGATGATGGAGCCGAAAGGATGCCCAGAAGCAAGTCTCGAGGAGGAATGGGGCAGGGGAAAATCCTCGTTCCAGCAGGAACATGCCTGCGCTGCACCATGCAGAGAGGCAGCCCTGCGAGATGTGCTAGAAACGGTCGGCTCGGCCCCGGTGTGTCCCATGAGCCCGGCTGAGTGCCTACCTTTGATGTAGCCCCGCTCCCTCAGCGACTGCAGCGTGGGCCGTCTCTGTAGGAACTTGCGCAGCTTGTTGCGCACTTTGCTGGAGTCGCTTTCACTGCTGGCACTGTGCGTTGCCTGCCCAGATGCTGGCGGAGATGGGGGAGAGGTGAGGATACCCCCAAATGGGACCGGGAAGGGCTTGGGGCTGGGACCTGGCTTGGGGGATCAAGGAGGATGCTGGGATGCTGAGAACGTCGCTTCTTGGCCCGGATGTGGGATGGACACTGCCCAGGGCTCCCTCCCGCCCTGAGGGCTGTGTGCATGGGGCCAATGCGGCACCTCTGCTGTCCCCCTGTCCTTGCAGGGGGCGTGCCCTGCTCTGCCAGTGCCACCCACATATCCATCCATGCGGGCAGACCTGCCACGCTGTGGCCCTGAAAGCTTTGCTCCCGGGAGAGAGGGGTCGCTTGCTCACCTGCAGTCCTCTTCTCCTCGCCGGCTCCCAGTTTCTCCTTGGATCCAAATTCAGCCCTGTTTTCCACCTCCTCTTCCGGAGGAAAGTCTATACCCTAAGAAAGGGGCAGGATGAGATGCGTGTGCCCATCCCGAGCGTGGGAGGTCCTGGGGAAGGGACCGGCCACTGCGCAGGCGCCTGCTCACCAGCCGGCCGATGCTGTCCACGATGGCCTTCTGCCACGTGACGATGATCTGCTCTGAGTCATGCTGGATGAGGAACTCCGAACCCTCCCGTGTCTTCAGCTACAAGAGCAGTAGGCAGTGGTCAGGGCAGGGGCACCATACCACTCTGTCACCCGGCTCTGCAGTCCCCATGTCCCCAGATATGGCATGAGGGAGCCAGAGCTGGGCCGTGCTCTGAAGATGACATGGCCACATCCCCCGGGGAGTGTCCTCCACCCCAACATCAGCCAGCTCCACTCTGGGGCTCTGCTGGACCATATCTGCATTTGGCTGTATCCCCTGTCCTACCTTCATCATCTCTCCTCTCAGGTGAGGCAGGGGCCAGGTTGTGGCTGTAAATGGTGCACAACTCATTACACTAATGATCCCAGCCACCTTCTTTTGTGTTGCCTCAGCTGCAGTGGGGATGGGTCTGCCCAGTTTCACAAACCCTGGGCCTCCCACTCCGATTTCCTTATAAACTTCCCCCATGGCCCTTTCTCATTTGTTGCAAGTTTCCTCCATGTGCAAAGCTGAGGAAGAGAAACCCCACCATGAATGTGATGGGGCCAGCCTGGATGGGGTGTTGGGGCTGTCCCTGGGTTATGGGCGCCCCTAGGAATGGCACTGGGGACACAGCATTTCCCCCCTTGCCCCTGGCATGGGCATGGCCATGTTCACAGGGGCATGTTCACAGGGACTAAATGCATAAATCACAGCAATCCCACTCTGGTGGCTTTTGCTCCCCTTTGCTGCCGGCGAGATGAACTGAAGCTGGGCAGGTGGGGCATGCACAGACCCCAGTGGGTGGTCAATGTCCCGCTGCCCCCAGGAAACTCACCTCCAGGACATTTTTCTTGCTGGATTTGTCCTTGCTAGCCCAGGCGACGGTGGCCCCTCGCAGCTCCACTGTGTGCTCCGGTGTGGTCAGGGTGGCAGGGTGTCTCTGCAGGGAACAAGGGGATGATGACACCACTGGAGCCTGACCAGAGGGGATGGGGCCACGATGTGATCGCCTGCATCTGAGGCTGGAGTAAAACACCTGGATGCCAGGCCTGAAGCTGCTGGGACTGGCTGAGGATAGGATCATGCTGGGCACGTGCCCAAGCAGGATGTCAGCAGCTGGGATGTCCATGGGGCTTGTGGGGGTTGGACCCACAAATCCCACCTGAGAGGGGCTAACTGGGGCTGATTACAACCTCCCGTGGAGCAGCCCTCTGGCCCTGCAGGCAGGAGGCTGGGTTGATTTTCTGGGCTCAAAGGAAGGGCAGCGCCAGGCCATGATGGTCGAGGTACTGGGGATTGCCAGTGGGGCTGTTATGTCCCCCAGCCAGGGAGCAGTGAGCAGGGGCCGGGCGCTGACACCAGCCTCGCACACCACATCAGGATAACAAAAAATACAGAAGCGAGTCCACACGTTCACTTCCTAACATCGGCACCTCTGCAGTGCCCATTTCTATTTTTCTCCCCTACAAATGTAGCCTTTAGGAGGAGCAAATCTCCCCTTGCAGGTCCATCCCCTCCCAAGGCACCAAGATCTCCTCTCTGCATCTGCATGGACCAGGGCAGGAGGCTGTTGCGATGCAACAGGAATTGCTCCCATCTCCCTGGCCCGTACCAAGAGTGTCACAGCTGCTGGCCGGGATGGAACTGTGCCTGATAGACACTGTCCTCTCATGGGCTAAGCCCCAGCCCTGGAGGAGCAGGGCCTTGATGGAGCCCCCGGGGATCTTCAGGGTCTGTGCTGGTTACAGCATCTTGTAGCAGTGTTAACATGGGGAATGGAGCACTAAGTGAAATGCTGCCCTGTCTTTGCAGGTTGTCAAGTGGATGTCCATGAGGGCGATATACCCATGGGGTTTTAGGAGGAACGGGACATCTGAAATGCTTGGCCTTCCTCGTATCCTGGCCTTTGGGGGCCAGGAAAGGGCATCAGCACTTGGGAGAGGCTCCTTCCCCTCCATCCAGCCCCTTCTCCATTGATATCGGAGCAGGGACAGCTGCATCTCTTCCCCACGAGGGTTTCAGGCCGGCCTCTTTCTCTTCCCGTTGCAGCCATCACCGCAGGGTTTTGCAAGATGGTGTCGGCACGAGGGTGCTGGGCTCGGGGCGCCACAGCCAGCTTCTGCATTTGGGCCCTGCTTGCAGCCGTTAGGATTGGGGGCTGGGTTTTGCTTTGCTTCCTTTCCCGCTGAGCCAAATGTGCTCAATTTGCTTGTTCTCATGTTAAAACAGCCCTGGCGGAGCGGCCTGGCCCGTCTTGGCTCTGCAACGCAGCAGGAGCGTGTGTATGTGTGTGCTGCGGGGAGTGTGAATGCAAATGTGCTGAGAGCCACACCAGCTTGGAGCATCACCTTCGCCATCACATCTGTGCCCCAAACCACCACCACGCTTAACCCTGTGCTGCAAGCAGCCATGGCCATGGTGTGGTGGTAGAGACCCATGGGACACTTACCAAGGCACCAGCGGACGAGTGCTTTGAGTCCTTGAAGAAGGTCAGGATTCCCCCTTCCAGGACAGTCCAGGAGGAGCTCCAGTTTTTCCTGGGGACAAAACATGGGAAGGTCAGTTATAGGGACAGCACAGGCATGTGTCCTTGCTGCTGAGGACCCTGTTGTCCTGCTGTCCCAGTGGGAGGCTGTTCTGCCCAAGCCCAGCCAGGGAGGCCCCTTCCAGCACTCCTTGGCCCCTGCATGTGTGCCTGGACACCGTCACCCCCAACATGAGAGCTGCAGCAGGGTGAGGAGGGGATTTTGGGCATGCCTGGATTTGCTCCTCCAGCCTGGGCTCAGCAATGCCGCAACGGGGCACGCTGGGACGTGCTTACCGTAACCGCTTCCCTCTGTCCACTGTTTTGGTTCGGTTGAGCACGCCGGCCTTCTCGAGGCTTTTGAACTGGAAGGCAAAACCAGATGGGGTTTAAATCCCTCCCTTGCTTGCTTGCAGAAGTCCCCACGCATCCTTGCCATCCCCAGTGCTGGGGCACAGAAGTGCTTGGTGCACCCCAGTGCCCACCATGGCAGCTCACCTTCTCTTCCTTGTGCTCCGGCACTGCTGGCGGCACGCTGTTGTGCCAGGCGGCAAAGAGTCCGCTGTCCTGGCTGGAGCCGCTGCTGGCCCTTTTGTGGTGGCCGGGCACCAGCACCTGCGGAGGGAACACATTGGGTGATGCCTAAGGGACCAGCCCATCCTGGGACACAGCGGAGATCAGCCGACCCAGAGAGGGACAACTGCTCCCAAAAGAAGGATGGGATTGCATCCTGGCATCACCTCCCCATGCTCCTCTTTGGGGCTCTTTTCCCCAGCATTTAAGCCCCTGCAAGGGATGCTTGTCCCCCACCAGTGGTCCCTGACCCGTACCGTGTCTGCGGTGTAGTGCTCAGGGCAGAAGACAGCTCCCTCGAGGTGGCTCAGCCCATACCAGGCCGGTGGTGAGCCCAGCTCCTCAGAGCGCCTCTGGGGCAGATATGGCGAGGCACCATGCTCGTAGGAGCCCACAGGCAAGTAGTCCTCCTCGGGATAACCCTCCAGCTCATCGGGAGACAGGTCAGGATAGTCTGTCTCCGGAGTAGGCGGCTGCAAACGGAAGGCAGGTGAAGCAGCTGCCCGTGGCATCCCCCAGCTGCATGCCACGGAGAGCGTCGGCTGGGCAGATATCCCTGTGCCAGCCTGGCTGCGTTCCCTGCTGTGGGACCTGCTGCCCGCCCTGCCCCGTCCACGTGTGCCCGCACGGTGCTCACCCGCTGCTCCATGGGACTGTACTGCACAGCCCCTGGGTACATGTCCTGGGAGCTGGCTTCGTCTCCCGTATAGGGGGGGTCCCACGACGTCTCACCTGTTACTGAATTATAGAAAAAAGCCTGTCCGCTGGCTTCATCCATGTACTGGCCCCATTCGGCTAACTCAGGGCTGTGGGCGAGAGAGGAGGCGGGAGAGGCGGCGGGACTCACTCCATCTTCTGCCTGCTCAAAGGGGCAATCCCACGTGGTCTCACCGGTGACTGGGTTGTAATAAAACAAGTGTCCACTGTCCGTGTCAGTGTGGGTTTCCCAGTCCGCCAGGGAGCTGTGGGGCTCCTCCTGGCCTTGCGAGGCTGAGCTGGCGGCTGCTGCTTCCTCTTGCAGCTCCTGGATATTGAGGTATACAGGGGTGGGCGGCTTCTCTGGCTCCTTGTGCACCTGCAAAGGAATGGAGACGCGTCACGCCGGTGCCTCGCCGTCCCCAGCTGGTGCTGGGCACGGGTCCCTCTGCTCACCTCAGTGAGCATCCCCACTGCCTGCCGCTGGCTCGCTGGGGTGTCCTTTGTAGCCAGACATCGCCAAGCATTTCCCTGAGAAACCCTCGTGCAGGGGGATTGAAGCGAGGGGAAATTCAGGGTCATAAAGAGCTGGCACTGGTGCAACTGGCTAATGGTGTGTGAACGTGGCAGTGTAGTCAGGCAGCAGACAAGGGCGCCCACCTTACCGATGTTAAATGAGGCAAGTCTGCATGGTCTCCTTGGAAAAGTGAGACTGGCCAGAGCACGGAGGGAGAGTTTGGAGTGCGGCTGCCACAGCCCTAGCATCAGCACCCCAAGCCCGTCCATGCACCCCCACTCACTCTTGGCGCCCAAAGACGAGCTGGCCCGTGCAGCACTGAGGCTGATGGCCTCATCACCGCATCCTGAAACAGATGCCTATTTCTGGCCAGCCCTGCAATCCCCTGGCTTCATCGCCTCGCTCGCCGGCAGCCCAAACGGGTCACCAGCGAGGGCTGCTTGGGGGGATGGGGACAGCCGCACCGGGGTGCACCCATGCAGTGCCTGGGTGCCACCAGGAGGGGACAATGCCCCTGCCCTGCTGCATGGGGTCCCATGCTCTCTGGCAGCCCCGACTTTCGCCTCTGCCCTGTTTTTGCTACATTGCTTGACGTTTTATTCCATCTTGCAGGCTTCAAAACCTGCCCATATGAGTGTCCCCAAATGCACAGCTATGCAACCCCCTTCCCTGCCTAGCTGGCAATGTTCCCGGCAGGACCCGCAGGTCTGATTCCACCTGACAGCACCCAGTTAGTGCCTCCACAAGTTGGAAAAAAAAAAACTCAGGAAAAGCATTAACATCAGGTTTCTTACTGGGACAGATCCCCTTTCCACCTTGCTTCCTTGCAGAGCTCCTCCCCGCCGCTGAGCTTGCCCTGGCTGTGGCCCTGGTTACCAGGATGGGGCAGGAGCATTTCCAGGGCCTGAAATTGCCCAGAGCAGGAACAGGTGGGCAAAGTCGCCAAGAGCCATGCTGCCACAGGGCCTGTTACCCTTTGATTCCCCCCCCCCCCCCGCTTTTACTCCCTCTGGCCCTTCCTGGGGCGGACGGGG